AAAAGTACCTTGAAATTGAGCTCAAAATAGCAGAAATGTTCGATTCTTTGGTGACATCAGTGGTAGGCAGCAGTGGCAGACAACATGAAGCAGCAGTGGCAGACAACATGAAGCAGCAGTGGCAGACAACATGAAGCAGCAGTGGCAGACATCATGAGGTAGCAGTGGCAGGCATCATGAGGTTGCAGTGGCAGACAACATGAAGCAGCAGTGGCAAAGTGTAGCATTAAGAGTGTAGCAATTAAGTGAAGCATTAAGAGTGTAGCACTTATAAGTCACTCTGACTTTTTTGGGTTATCCTAGGTTCTCTACACATGTAGTCAGGAGCAGGAATGGCCACTGTGGTGGCCCTGTAAACCCCAACAATAATGGCTGCTCTCACCACCACTAGCCACATACCTAATGACATGTATTTTATTCATTCTAGTTTATATATCATGTTTCTATGTTATTAATATTGTTTATTATGTCATATTGCATGAATTGTGATAGATAAATAAGTTGCATAGTTGATATTAGGGAAATTATTAAAGTATTTTCTCGTGCCTGGAATTCCACTGGAATGAATTAATTCCATTTCAATTAATTTAAATGAGGAAAATTGACTCTGCAAACGAGCAAATCCAGTTGCAAGCAAGGTCATGGAATGGATTAAACTCGTAAGTAGAGCTTCCACTGTATCTTGCATTTGCTCGACAGTAGGGGTTGCAAGATTTTGTATGAGGCACAAGTACGCTCACACCTTGAGTATGCTCCATTTTCTTTCTGCAGCTGCTTGACCTCTAGAGTAGAGAACAGAGCAAGATGCCTCATTTCTCGCCTGGACCCATCCTGGATAGATATGTCATTTCAGCAGAGCCTTCAACACAGGAGAGATGTGGGCAGCCTTACTGTTATGTACAAGGCCAACATTGTCAAAGTACCACACTTGGCTCCACTTAGATGACAGTGAGAAGCAAGCTTCTATGGCACAAGATGGGCAGAAAGCAGCAGCTTCACTCTGTCTGTACCCTTCTCCAAAACATCACTTCATCTGAGATCATTTATCTGCAGGATGATTCAAGTCTGGAACATGTTTGTACAGCATAATGATATCAATGAGATAGTTGATCAAATGAAAATGCTGGCCCAAAGATGGCTCCAACTTCATCCTGTTCCTTACTTATGTGTCTCATAACAATAAAAAGGCTTTCAAATTAACTGATGTAGGTAACAGCTCTTAGCTTGTTGAAGTTAGGAATCCATAACTTGTCAATAGCTTGTCAGTAAAGTTAGGGATCCTTATCCTAACTATTATTTTTTTTATTTTTTTTTTTATTATCACACTGGCCGATTCCCACCAAGGCAGGGTGGCCCGAAAAAGAAAAACTTTCACCATCATTCACTCCATCACTGTCTTGCCAGAAGGGTGCTTTACACTACAGTTTTTAAACTGCAACATTAACACCCCTCCTTCAGAGTGCAGGCACTGTACTTCCCATCTCCAGGACTCAAGTCCGGCCTGCCGGTTTCCCTGAACCCCTTCATAAATGTTACTTTGCTCACACTCCAACAGCACGTCAAGTATTAAAAACCATTTGTCTCCATTCACTCCTATCAAACACGCTCATGCATACCTGCTGGAAGTCCAAGCCCCTCGCACACAAAACCTCCTTTACCCCCTCTCTCCAACCTTTCCTAGGCCGTAAAAAAAAAAATAGAGACAGAGATAGAGATGGAAATAGAGATAGAGACAGAGACATATATATAGAGACAGAGGTAGACACTGATATAGATACAGAGACAGAGATAGACAGAGACAGAGACACAGAGACAGAGACACAAGATAGACATAGACACAGAGATGGAGATAGACACAGGCATATAGAGACAGATAGAGACAGACAGAGACAAAGAGATAGAGACATGCAGAGAGACAGACACAGAGATAATGTAGAGATAGAGATAGAGAGAGATAGAGACAGAAAGAGATAGAAACAGTCAGTCATTTAGACAGCATGACACAAAGCCAGCCAGACGGCCACCCAGCCTACCAAACACGTATTATACGTTCCAGAATTGTTTCTCTTTACTTAGGGCATAGGTTATAGGACATTCTGGCAGGATGATGCTACCAGTGGTATCAAAATTGAAAGGATGGTGCACAAATGTTTCACATGGGTTATTATTGAGGTTTTTGATATTTCCTCGATCACTTGTGGCCACATACATCTCAAAGCCACAAAACTCAGGGTCAGCATCACTTTCCTCTTAACCCTTTGACTGTCGCAAGCCCCTTTCTGAAACTCATTTTGTGTCGCAAAAGTTTTGGAAAAAAAAATAATTTTTTCTTATTAAATGATAGAGAATCTTTTCCTGATGGTAATGACACCAAAAGTATGAAATTTGGTCGAAAACTCACGGAATTACGCTCCCGCAAAGTTAGCGGTCTTAGCGACATATACGCATCGGCAATTTTGCCGACTTTGAACCCTGTTTTTGGCCAATTCCTTTGTTCCAGTTGACCAAACTCATAGCGATTTCTTTAGAACTCCATTTTTTTCTACCAGTTGAGTACAAGAAACCACCCATTTACCGATTTGAACTACCCAATAAAGTGGTCAGAAATTGGCAATTTGGCCAATTTCACGCAAATTAAAAAAGATGCCAATTTCAAAATAGGGTCCAGAATAAACAATGTAGACATTCTTGGCACTAAAATAACATATCCTCTGTTCATTAGTTATGTCTTTAGGCCCCTCTTATATTACTCTTGCTTTCTATTTTGATTTTTTATTCATACAAAAAAAATACAAAATTTACTGTTATGCAAACTACTGCGTTATTGTAAAAATGGTATAAACAATATCAGTGCACTAGTGAAAGAATATTAGACTCCCCAGTTGATCTGTATTGGACTTGTGGTGTAATTTGCTTAGTCCTGAACATTGGTAAAAATCAAACATTTTAGCTACTTCGAGCCCAATTTCTAGGTCGTTTTCTTTGTGAAAGCAATGAAAATCATCTTTATTTCTGTAATGTGTTTTCCATTTTATCACCTGAGACCATGAAAACGAGAATACAACAATAAATACTATATGAAAATACACCTCGAAGTCGGCGTTTTAATCCAAAAAAACTGTCGTTTTTTTTTTCTCATTATTCACTGCATGCTGCTGGATTTTTTTTGTGGTGCACACTGACCACACAGACCCATTCTCTCACATGTGGGCCTACCAGCTTTCTTCTGCTTGATTTGAAGCCGCTAGAATTTATGCATATAAATATGTCAAAAACAGTGGCTTGTAAGACGTATATATACGACGTAAACAGTCAAAGGGTTAAAAGAGGAGTGTTAATATACGACATGACATCAGTGAATCCCCGGTGTTTGCTCGAGCTGGTGCTCTATTGAACTGGTGCTCCCACAAGGTACTAAGTGGTCCCAGATTTTTTTAATACTGTGCACACCGAGTGTTAACCCTTTCAGGGTCGAGAGGCCCTCTCCTAAACTTGTTCTCAGGGTCGAAAATTTTTTGGAAAAAAAATAAAAAAAAATTTTTCTTACGAAAAGATAGAGAATCTTTTCCCGATCATAATGACAACAAAAGTATGAAATTTGGTGGAAAACTTATGGAATTATGCTCTTGTGAAGTTAGCGATCTCAGCGATGTTTACACATCAGCGATTTCGCCCACTTTGAGCCCCATTTTCCACCAATTCCAGTGTACTAGTCAACAAAAATCATAACTATTTTGTTAGAACTCCATTTTTTTCTATCGAATGAGTACAAGAAACCACCCATTTACTGATTTTAACTATCCAATAAGGTGGTCAGAATTTAGCAATTTTGCCAATTTCACAAATTTCAAAAGATACCAATTTCCAAATAGGGTCCAGAATAAACAAGACAGACATTCCTGGCACTAAAATAACATTTCCTCTATTCATTAGTCATGTCCCCAGGCCCCTCTTACATTTCTTTTGCTTTCCACTTTGAATTTTTATTCTCACAAAAAAACAGAAGATTTACTGTTATGCAGACTACTGCATTAGTGTAGAAATGGTATAAATAATATCAGCGCACTTGTGAAAGAATATTAGACTCACCAGTTGACATGTATTGAATGTGTGGCATGATTTGTTTACTTTTGAACTTTGGCAAAAATCGAACATTTCTGCTACTTTGAGCTTAATTTCAAGGTACTTTTCATTGTGAAACCAATCAAAATCATCTCAGTTTCTGTAACATGTCTTGTATTTTATAAAATGAGACCAGGAAAACTAGAATACAACTATAAATACCACATGCAAATGAAGTGCAAAGTCGCTGTTTTAAACCAAAAACAGTTTTTTTTTCTCATTATGCACTGTGTTCTGCAGGATTTTTTTTTATACTGTGCACACTGACTACATAGACCCATTCTTTCATATGTAGGCCTACCAGCTTTCTCTCATTAGATTTGAAGGCGCTAAAATTTACGAGTTCTAGTACGTCAATAACCCTGGTGCGTAAGCCGTACTAGTAGGCTGGAAACCCTGAAAGGGTTAAGGCCCATTTTGCACCGACCAGGCATCTTGGGCCAATCATGCCAAATTTGGAGGCAGGAAAAATAGAACATTGATCTGTGTTTGGAGTGCTAGAAGTGAAAACGTAAATCTACATTTAGACAGTTTAAGGGTTAAGATACTGTCCAAATTGTATTTGATTGCATGTTGCTCTGTATGCAACTTCATATTAAAATTAAGACTTGTTAGGTAGATTAAAGGTGAGACATTGAATTGCTGAACTGTAAGGTTACTAATTTATTTAGTTTGAAACAGCTTTTTTTTTTATTCAAATAGTATAAAGAAATAAGTGCAGTATTCTTTGCTTATGCAGCTTTGCTTCATGTGAATTAACTTGCATACTGTAGCCCTATTTCTATCAGTAATTCATTGCAAAGTATGAATTTAGTCACATATAATCTCCAAATCCCAGCACTTCCTGATTTTTAACCATATCTCATTAACCCTTTCAGGGTCCATCCCGTAGATCTACGGCTTTACGTTGAGGGACCAAACTGTAGATCTGCGCCATGAGCTCAGCTCACTCTGATAAGCTGTGAGGGGTAAATATGGGCCTAGATATGAGAGAATACATCTAGGTGGTATGTGTGCACCACATAAATCAAATCCTGCAGCACGCAGTGCATAATGAGAGGAAAAAAACTGAGACCGTAATTTTCGATTAAAATGGCAACTTTGCAGTGTTCTTTCGTATGTTTTTTATAGTTGTATTTGCAATTTATTGGTCTCATTTGATAGAATGGAAGATATATTACAGAAGTAGAGATGATTTTGATTGGTTTTAGCATTGAAAATGGCTTGAAACTGAGCTCAAAGTAGCAGAAATGTTAAACTTTTGCCAATGTTCAAGAGTAAACAAATGGCCTCACACGTCTAATACACACCAGCTGGTGGGTCTGATATACGTTCACAAATGTGCTGATATTATTTATACAATTATTGCAATATTGCATGACAGTAAATCTTCTATTTTTTGGTTTGAATAAAAATTCATTATGTGAATTAAAAATCAAAATGGAATTAATTTGTAAAGCCTGAAAACATAACTAATGAACAGAGGAAATGTTAATTTAGTGCCAGGAATGCCTGCATTGTTTATTCTGAACCCTGTTTTGAAATCTGAATATTTTGAACTTTGCACTAAATTGGCCAAATTACTAATTTCCAATCACTTTATTTTGTAGTTGAAACAGTTGAGTTGGCGATTTCTTGTGCTCAATCGATAGAATAGAAGTATTACTAGTTAAATAGCTAAGAATTTGGTCGACTGGAATAAGGTAATTGGCCTAAAATGGGAGTCAAAGTCGGCAAAATTGCCAATGCGTAAATATCACTGACATGTCAAAATTCGCAAGAGCATAATTTCGTCAGTTTTCCATCAAATATCATACGTTTTGTTTCATTACCTTCAGAAAAAGATTCTCTCCCATTTTATAAGAAAAAAATAACAAAATTATTTTTTGAAAATTCTTGGACACTGGTGTGCACTTTGAAATTTGGCCTCTGGATCCTGAAAGGGTTAAATATCACTCAACTTGTTTATGTTGACAGTATTGCAGCAGGTCTGCTGGCCAGTACTAGCTAGGTCCTCCTTTTCCCACTTACTGTCACTCATACATTAATTATTGCTGATCTACTGATTTCATAGATGAGGGCAAAGGTGCACTGCAATAGGCCTACTGGCCCATACCATCCATACACTATTCTGTTGTTAAACCATTGCTCTCCTAAATTAGAACATAGAATGGAGGAGTACTGCAGCAAGCCTACTAGCCCATGTTAGGCAGTCATCAAAGTTGTTAGCTTTGATGACAGCAGTTTGTTCCACTTATCTACAACTTGATAGTTGAACAGCATTTTCCTGTATTTTGAAATCTAAATTTATCTAACTTGAATCCATTATTTTGAGCTCTTGATTAAATACAGTGGTCCCTCATTTATCGTCGTTAATCCATTCCTGGAAGTGCGACGATTATCGAAATAGACGATTTTCGAAATAGACAATTTTCGAAATAAACGATTTTCGAATCAATTTTCCCCATAAGAAATAATGTAAATACAATTAATCTGTTCCTGACACCCAGAAGTATTAAAACAAAAAAATTTTTTACATGAAATAGATGTAGTACATAAACAATGCAATGGGACATGATGAATGAAACATTAGCAGCATAACACTTACCTTTATTGGCGATTCTTCTTAGTGTATGGAAGACTGGAGGAGGAGACAGATTGCATTAGTTATTCTTTGGAAGGGGAATCCCCTTCCATCAACACCTTAGGTACCAAGTCCTTTTCTGGGGTTACTTCTCTTCTCTGTTTCTTAATGACACTAGGACCAGCTTGAGAGTCACTGGAGTCCTGTCTCGCAAAATAGCTGTCCAGAGAGCTCTGTTTCTGGCGTCTCTTTAAAACTTCCCTAAAATGGGCCAAGACTCTGTCACTGTACAAGTTGCCGATATGGCTTGCAACAGCCTTGTCAGGGTGATGTTTCTCCATAAATCTTTCCATCCTACCCCACATTTCAAAAATCTCCTTAATTTCTGAAGAAGGCACCTTCTTCCATCTCTCTTCCTCCTCCTCTGCAGCAATATTCTCAGCTGCGATCTGTTGCTGTTTCTACTGAAGCTCTTGCAGTTCCTCAGTGGTTAGCTCTTCGTTGTGGTCCTCCACCAACTCTTCCACATCCTCCAAACTCACATCCAACCCCATGGAACTCCCCAATGCCACAATAGAGTTTACAACTGACATAGGCTCATTAGGGTCAGCCACAAACCCTTCAAAATCCCTCTTGTGGACACGATCTGGCCACAATTTTCTCCAAGCAGAGCTCAAAGTCCTGGTAGTCACTCCTTCCCAAGCCTTACCTATAAGGCTTATGCAATGGAGGATACTGAAGTGTTCTTTCCAAAACTCTCTTAGGGTCAAATGAGTGTCTGAGGTCACACTAAAGCACTTTTGAAATATTGCTTTGGTGTAGAGTTTTTTAAAGTTTGAAATGACCTGCTGGTCCATGGGCTGGAGGAGAGGAGTGATATTCGGGGGGAAGAACGTTACTGTGATGAACCCAAACTCCTGCAGAATTAGGTCATCCAAGTTTGGAGGATGAGTAGGTGCATTGTCCATTACTAGGAGGCACTTGAGATCCAGTTTCTTTTCTAGGAGGAAATTCTTCACATTAGGGCCAAACACTTCATTGAACCACTCGACGAAAATTTCTCCAAAACACACACAATGTACTCTTCATAACATTGTTTTTCCTGAACACTCTGGGATTTTCAGAATGGTACAATAGTAACGGCTTCACTTTGAATTCCCCACTAGCATTAGCACAGAACATGAGCGTCAGCCTGTCTTTCATAGGCTTGTGTCCTGGCAGTCCCTTTTCCTCCTGAGTAATGTAGGTCCTCTTTGGCATTTTCTTCGAAAATAGGCCTGTTTCGTCACAATTGAACACTTGTTCAGGTTTCAGTCCTTCAGCCTCTATGTACTCCTTGAATTCACTTGCGAATTTTGTAGCTGCAATTTTGTCCGAACTGGCAGCCTCACCATGCCTTATCACACTGTGTATGCCACTACGGTTCTTAAATCTCTCAAACCAACCTTTGCTGCCCTTAAATTCACAAATATCGGTACTCGTTGCAGGCAGTTTCTGTACCAGATCATCATGCAACTGCCTAACCTTTTCACAAATAATCGACGTCATAAGACTATCTCCTGCTAATTGTTTCTCGTTTATCCACACCAATAATAGCTTCTCAACCTCTTCGAGTACTGGTGATTTCATTTTTGTCAGCATATTTACCCACTTTGCAACAACAGCTTCTTTGATTTCCTTTTTCTTGGCCACGATGGAAGATATGGTTGTATGGGATTTGTTATACATCCTGGCCAGTTTGGCCACACGTACGCCACTTTCATATTGTTCAATGATGTTTTTCTTAAATTCAATCGTATTTCTCACCTTCTTTACCAAAGGCTTGGCACTAGGAGCTTTCTTTGGAGCCATGGTAGCTTATTTAGCACTTGCAAGCACTAAAATGAATGGAATATTATGAAATATTTTGTATGAACGCATGAGGGGACCGACACTCACTAGTAAACAATGGCACACTGGCTGGGAAGGGAGGCCGAGGCGGCTCAGAGCCGTGAGTATGCGTCCAGGACGAACGACAATTAGCGAGTCAACCGACCGTTTGCGAGCCAATGTTTGGACTAAAATAACGTGACAGTTTCCAAAAAGGACGACTCTCGAGCCCGACTATTACCGAGGGACCACTGTATCTTCAATGCGCTATTTATATTTCATTGATTTCTTCAGTCATATCTGCCCTCATTCTAGGTCTTTCAAGACTGTATGTAGGTTTAGAGCTCTCAATCTGTCTTGCACAACAGACTCTTATACAGTGGATTAATTTAACCATTCTTCTCTGTTTGTACTCCAGTGCATTTACATCCATTCTGTAGTATGGAGACCAGAACTGTACCTCATAATTCCATTGAGGCGTCTTTGATGAAGTGTAGAGTTATATAATAACCTTTGGACTGTTGCCTATTCTTGTTATAAATTCAAGTAGTCTGTCAGGTTTTATGTGGATACTTTGGTACTGCTATTTTGACTTCAGATTCCTATTTACCATTACTCTCAAGTTCTTTTCACATTGTGTATGACGAGGGTTCTGTATTGTAAATGCCATTGTTATTATCATTTCTCAAGATTACCACTTTGCACTTTTCCACATTTATCTTGAGTACCATCTTTCTCATTATGACATTATCTCATCAAAATCACACTCATGATCACTGGTATCTTTCTCTTTTTTTTTTTTTTTTTTTTTTTTGTCAGTGAATAAACTAGTCACTCTTTTTACTCTGTCATTAATGTAGAACATGAACAACAAGGGGCCCAAAACTGATCCTTGTGGAATGGTACTCTTGACTAGTCCCTGTTATGATTTCACCTCAAGTAAGCAAACTCTTTGTTGCCTATTTGTCAGTCATACCTGATACATTCTTTGGTTAATAACACAGATACATGGGCCTGCATCTCCAGTTCCTTTAGCCCACAGTGCTTCTTAGACCTGTTAAAATGTGAGGGGCCATAACCATCCCTTGTGAAATCATCAGGTTCACAATGTATTACCAGGTGTTTGCATAATTATCAATTTTCATTAGTAAAGATCTGGGGGGAAAGGTGGGAGGAGTTGTTAAACAAATTTAGGGAGTTTTCAACCAAGTGAGAAAAAAATTGTTGTGGGAGACCTAAATGTTAAGGTAACACTTATAAAGTGCATAATAAGCAAGTTTGGGGTGTCAGACACAAATGGTAATTGGGGACCTCTAGTGAAAATACAGTAGAGCCTCGGATTATGAATGCCCCGCCATGCAAATTTTTCAGGATACGAACAGTTGTTCAGTAGATTTTTTGCTTCTGGGTACGAACAAAATTTCAGGATGCGAACTTCCCCCTCAAGGGAGGTTCCTTGAACAAATAAATAAATAAATAAAATATTTATTTCTTTGCAAAGGTTACAGTGTGTTTACATATCATAATGTGATTGGAACAAAGAAAGCAACTATCATGCCGAGGCATTTCGGGCAGACTTAACCTAATACTAATAGACTACTAAAGTCTAGACAAGTGAAAAGTGTACAAGTA